TGTCTTCAAAAACGTTCAGGACAAAGCTGGAACAAAATAGCATGAGAAATTGTTGGTACTTCTGATTTTGACAGTCTAAAATCTTGACTTTGGAGAATTTTTCTTTCTTGTTGGTCTGCCTTGTAACCTTAATTTCTCTTCCTTCTCAAACTTTTAAACTCAAAAATTATTTTATTTCTTTGTTTGGTCCCACTAGCTAATGTGGTATCAGGTCTTAAAATGTTTTCTCCTCTTAAGTTTTGTAGCCAGCATTATTGCACTGAATGAATTGTGAGCACCTTCCTTTTCTAGGTAGCTGGAGTTGCAGATCATTTTGTTGCAAGTGAAAATCTTCAAAAGGTTCATACAATTGATGAAATCAATGTATCTGATGATAATGTATGTCTCCATTACCATGTGTAAATATTATGAACTATGTTTATATAGTTATAAAACTATTGCTATGCCTATATGCATTACCCGATAAAATATATATTACATTTTCTATTTTATGGGATATGGACTTTATTTTGCATATGTATTGATGTAGTGTTACATACATAGTACTTTTAAGTCAACATCACTGTGTGTTAATTTGGGGCTTTGAGCAATACTAGTGGTGTCTGGAAAAAACCAGGGTCTGTCACTATCATGCAGAGTTGCACCAAATCCATAGAAACAACTTTAAAAAGGTATTACTTGCTTATTTCTTCGTCATACATTTTGTATTTTACAGAAATTACTGTATACGATCCCTGTTGAACTGTGAGCTACAACGTGATGTCTACCTTTTGGAATCCAAACACTTCATATTCTGTCTAAATCTGCAAATTGCTGATTAGAAAAAAGATGCATGAGTTTAGGTGGGAAAATGATTTTACACTGTGCTGTTTTTCAACGATGCCTAAAGGTTAATTTTGAATAAGTCCATATCATTAAAGGCTGATTGATGGCAATTATTTGTGGATGCTCATAAGGTATTTATAACAGATGTACAGAAGCAGGGAAAATGGGGAGACCGATGGAGAAAACACCTTATCAGTTGTCTCATGTTTGTAATGAAGCTAGCTGTAAGCATTTCAGCATATGTCTGCAGTTCACTCAACTTCTGCTGTGTCTCTCAAAAAAGACAACCTAATAATTTCAGAACTTCTGTTGTGTCTTTGAATGGAAAAAATTAGTCTTTTCAAGAATCAAATAGAATAAAATTGTATGACTATATATATAAAGAAAAGCTATATTGTGAACTATTCAAAAGAGTTTTCTAGTCAATTTATTTTCTACAAATGAGTAGTTAGTCATCTTGTACTCTATAGGACATGCACTTTATTTTATTAAAAAAAGAATTTGTGTAAAAGGTAGCTTTCTTAATATTTGTTTTCCCTCCCTCAGACCGGGACAGTCTTAGGGGAGAGGAGAAACTTTTAGATGCCATTACCATAATAACACCCAATGGATTGCATTAAGTCCAATAAACATATTGAGAATTCTATGAGTACTGGGACGGAAATGCCAAGGGAGATCTCCAGCATCTGTTTAATTTATCTAAATAGACATTTGCCATACCTGTGGTTGTTAAGACATAATGATTCATTTAGCCCAGCTTTCCTGCAGGGAAGGTTTTTGTTGATGTTCACTAGAGAAATGGCTGCAGCAACTTTCCATTGACTGTTCCTTTGTCCCAGGCTGCTGCTTCTGTAGCAGGGTCAGTGGAGGGGAAGGTGCTGGTGAAAGTGGGCCTACATTTAGGTTGGCAAATTTCAGGCTGCAACACTCAGGACAACAGCAAAAGCTGTAGGGCAGCAGCGCTGGGACAGGTTAGAGGTCCTTTACTAGAATATTTGTTTTTCTTGGTATTGCAGTCCATGCTGTCTCCTAACAGGCTTGAAGGTTTTGGAGCTTACTGCCTAATGCCCCCACCCACAGTGGGAGCTGGGAGTTTTACTTTAGATCTAAAAGGCAACAACATAGTCCAATACCCAAATAGTGTTAACAGTAAACAAAGGGCAGACTGCTGCATCATGTGTGGAGCACAGAAGTAGTCCAGGGAGCAGGAAGAAAACAAGCAATGAGTAACTTTAATCAGATGAATTCAAAAGCAAAATATGCACAGAGTAGCAGTCAGCAGACTGAGGAGCAATCTGCAATGGGCATGATGCATTATTAGCCACACATATAAGCTGTATGGAAACTTGTTCGTTTGTTTGATTTTGCTTTTTCTAGGATCCAGTGATAGGTTTCTCTAAAAAGGATAACAAATCTTGTTGCAATAGCCAGTGGAACAGTCAACAGAGGAAATCACAGCATCAGAGCAGAAATGAAGATTTTTTTGAGTTGTGCAGGTACAGTACTAACCAAGCTTATGAGCTACTTAAGCAATGAATTTAACAGTATTGCTGTCAAATGCTATGAACAATTACTATGCTAGAGACTCAATCTTTTCAAGCTTCAGCTGTAGCTCTCCTTAAGCCTAACTTTTGCTATGTTTTGCTTGATGATACTCTGTTCTGATTCTGCTTTATGCCCACTCCTTTCAGTTATTTTTTATTTACTGCAGATTTTTTTTTTGTCCACAGAACTCGTTGGGGAAGAGGGGAAAATGAAAATAGAGCTGAATAAGTTTAATGCTTCTTCCTACCAAGAAAGGAAAATATTTGCTCCTTTTGCCCTAACTCTTGCTGTATTTAGTGAAGTGCCTACAGCACAGATCTAGTCTTGAACCTCGATCCCTATGTGCTACATTATTATGTACGGCCCCTTTAAGCAACGGGCTCCTCATGGCTCCAAAGAAAAGTATCAGATAATTTTCTGAAAGGTAGGCTTAGTCCAAAGTGTAAATGGCATTCAGTGCTCATAGCTACCTGTTACTGGTTTTCTCTAGCAAACTCCAGGATGCCTCAGACACAGCCTTTTTTCCAGCACTACACCTCTCACCATTTGTACAGTACTAGAACTGTTCATTGTAATTTGTTCTCAGCCTTCATCTGCTGACAGCTTCACAGCAGCTGAGAATTATGCTTTATAAGCCCAGTATACCATTTTTTTTAAGCTTGAGCTGTCCTGTACTGGTGCATAGTACTGTGCATTTGTGCAGAAAAATCCACTGCTTCCATGGCAGGCTGGGCTTACAGTGGCCCAGAGGCTGTGCTTTGTTGCACAAACTATTCTTCTGACCTACAGGTAAAAGTTCATGAATCCTGAAAAAGTTATGAATTTGGTCCGTAAGAAACAGACCCACCACTTGCATAGATAATGAAAGGCAAGTTAGGTGAGGAGAAACACACCGTTTTCTTTATGTCCCCCCGATCAGCTGCATGTTGTTTCTCAGTGCAGCAGATGCCTTAGCAGGGGACTTAGGGCAAGAGAAAAGCTGAAAGGAGTCACTGTGGAAAACATGACCTCAGCACTGCCAGACTCTGCTTTTAGAACTTCCTTCATTTATTTACTGTTATTACTGTGTCATGCAACATTAGTGTCTGATGCCAATAGTCACTCACCCTACTGCATTAGAGAGCAGCCCCATCGCACTGTGGTGTTTGAGAGGACATGAAAACAACTGTTCTACTGCCTTGTGTATGCAGTGAGATGCTTTATTTAATAACAAAATTATTTTTAATAGGGAAAAAAGCCAGGCCAACACGAAACTATCTGAAGAGAAACATTACAGATATACTTTGTGTTCAAAGCAGAAAGCTCCAGAAAGGAAAAGCTGTGTGGTACCTTTAGATTACAATAGTAAAAACACTGCAGATGCAAACCTTTACCTTTGCAGCAAGGAAAGGAAATTTAGAGTAAGCTAGAGAGGAACTTCCTAGAAACCCTGTACCAGAGTGCAGTCACCATTTTATAAAAAATGTGATGCTGAACATACCAAATATATAGAAGGGGAAGGTATCAGAAAAGCAATACCACTTTTTCATAGTTTCCGTCACTTCCAGGAATAGGTTTTTAATCATCTAATCCATGAGCAAAAATAAAACCACCTTCTCTCAGTATTGTGATTTTGTTAAAAGCAAGCCAGCCCCTTTCTTAGTGTTTTGTCTATTCATCCTCTGTTGGGCTGGTTACACTACAAGCTTATTGAAATGCAATACTGGAAACTTGTCTTTGCCTGATATTTGTAGAATCACCTAAGAGTTGTGCCAAAAGAAACCCTAAAGAAGCAAAAGGTGCATCTAAGGTAGGAGAGAGACTTTGGCAGGGGTTTTGCCTCTTGGAAGAGGGTCAAATATGTGATGAAAGAGTAAGACTCATAGCTCAACTTCAGGCATGCCCCATCTCTTTAAATGAGACTGAAATCTTTCCCTTTTGCTTGTAAACAGGTCCAGAACCTCTCTGGAGAAATTAAACAGAAATACAGCTGCACTTCCATTTGCATTTATCTGTGCCAGGCCTCTCCTGAACCACTGGATTGTCCTGTTACAGTAAATCAGAGCCGGGAGTCAAAACACCTGACAAGTGGAGCAGGCAAATGGAAACTGGCAGTAGCCATGCCATTGCTGGAGAGTGAGAGATGCTAGAGTCAATGGCATGCCTTTAGAAAAAGCTGTATGTGTCTCCTGGAATGGTTCTCTGTGCATTAAAGTAGTGAAACCCCTTTTATCTCTGTGCACCAAATTTGGCAACAATAAACTTTGATTCAGAGCAGAGTCTGGAGAAAGCAGCAGATGCACAGTGTAGAGTGGGCAAATGACACTTTAATGTGGTCAGATGCACTGACAGGGCAGGATGCTTCCTCAGGCCAGGGCGGGCCTCTCGGCCGGGGCGGGCCTCTCGGCCGGGGCGTCTCTCAGGGCCCGTCCACAGGGGCAGTGCCCACCTGCTGTGCCCGCTGTCGCCTCTGGCGCAGCCTCTCGGCGCCGGTCACCGTCATAGGATGGAGCGGCAGGAACCCCGCCAGACCTGCCAATAAGAGGCGGTGAGACGCGGCCGCACCGGGCCCCCCCTCCCCTCCGCTGCCAGGCGCCCGCCCCAGACCTACCCAGGAGCTTCTCGGCGGGCCGGGAAAGCTGCGCGCCGCAGCCCAGCCAGTAGCGCAGCCGCTCCAGGTTGAGCCCCGCCACCTTCTCGCCGTGGACGTTGGGCAGTGGGTCGAGGCAGCCGAGCTGCTCCAGGTACTTCCCGTCGCGGGCGCGCTTGCTGTGCGCTGCCACGATGCGGAAAAAAGGCCGGTTGGCGCAGCCTCCGAGGGCGAAACGGATCACGACGTGCCCGCCGCGGTAGCCTTTCAGGAGGCGGCTCCCTGTGAAGAAAGCGAGGTGGTCACGGGCCGCGCAGGGGCCGGTCACGGGCCGCGCAGGGGCCGGTCACGGGCTCGGGGCTCACCGAGCTGCACCATGACTCTCGGCTACTCTTCGACGCGGAGCGATGATGCAACAGGGGCCGGAAGATTGACACACCCAGCTGACTTTTGCAACACTTTATTAGGAAGGCTGGCGAGCCACAGGATTTCAGCTGCCTTAGACTTGGGAACAAGCCCCTGTTTTAAAAGCTTTCAGGAATACTCAAATGGAGTTCTCCTGAGATCCAGCCTGTCCGTGGTAGCTTCCCATCCATCCTGGGAAACTGAGCAGGGACCCCACTAAATCCCCTCGGCACTGGGCATCTTTCCCTGGAGAGGTGCTCCAGAAGCACTTGGCAGTGAGTGTTAGGTGGGGTTAATCTGGAAGTTAAATCCAGGATCACTGCCGGGCTCTTTGCAGCCCTGAATTCCCAATAATGGGAGATGAGCTTCTGGAATTACCCCTTCCAGCAGAGCAGCTGGTTTGTCCCAGTCCATGTGACCTGGAATTGATCCTGATTTGTTTGACTCTGGAGTCATTGAAGTGCTGGATTGTGGAAAACAGACAAGACAATGGAATTGTGACCCCTCGTCACCTGGTGATTTTTGGGCAGGGCTCAGGAATTTGCAGCTTTTTGGAGCTCAGTGCTCTCTTGTCGTAAGAACACAAACCATGACTGCTGAGTCCATATCTGTGATTTCTCAAAAGCATATACTTTTCTGTCATTGACAGCTTTTCCTGCTGTGGCAACTCGGCAGGCCAGGGGTATGAAAGTATCACACTCTGTAAAGTGTTTGAGTGACTTGTTTCTAACAAGTATTCCAGAACATAGGTGCAAATAATCTGAGGGTTTTCTATCTGAAAGGAGGTTGTTTCCAGGTGGGGATCAGCCTCTTCTCCCAGGTAACAAGCAATAGGAGAAGTCATAGCCTTAAGCTGCACCAGAGCAGGTTCAGACTGTACATCAGGAATAATTTCTTCATGGAAAGGGTGGCGAGGCATTGGAAGGGGCTGCCCGGGCAGTGGTGGAGTCACCATCCCTGGAAGTGTTCAAGAATGACTGGACGTGGCACTCAGTGTCCTGGTCTAGTTGACAAGGTGGTGACTGGTTTTTCCCTAGTCTGGGGATGCTGAACTCGTCAGGAGCGGTGTCAGTCCTGCCATGCTGAGCAGCCCCGGGGCCACCAGTGGCTGTGCTCCGCAGCAGGGCTGGCCCCAAAGCTTGGCACCCTCGACTCTGAGGAGAGGCTCGGCAGTTTGCAGAAGACTGGTGGTTTGATTAGTGCCCCATTATTGCTTGTAAAAACAGCATTTTCAAATGATTTCTGGTGAAAGATTTATCTTTGTTCAGGCTGTCAATTAAAAAAAATTGGAAATCACCCTCCACAGGAAAAGTTATTTTGTATACGGAAAGTTTTACAAATGCTCTTTATTTATTTTATTTGTGCGTCCCTCTTGTCCACTTAATGTATCCTTCTTTATCTCAGCACTCTTTCAACAGTGCAGTTTTCTTTGTCAGTGCAAAGATGAAGTGCCAGGACTGTAGCAGAGTTCCAAGGACAGGTGCAACTGCACTGTGAAGGGCATGTTTCATTACTGCTGGATAAGCTTGCCTGACCTGTATTTTTTCCCTTCAGTAATGAGTGACTTCTTACCAGGGATGTTATTCTTGACACCCCAGGGCAAATGGAGGTATTCACCTGGTCAGCGTCAGGAGCCATCATAACTGAGGCCTCGGTGAGTGCTTTTTGTATGACTGGACAGTAAAGCTGTCTGTGAGAATGACCTGGCTATTGCTCAGTGTACTCCTAATTAAAGTGTCTTTTGCTCTGTGTTCCCAGGCTTCCTCTTTTCCTTCGGTTGCTGTGTATGTGCCGGACACCTCTCGCAGGACTAACCCTATGGCTTTTATGTCCAACGTGCTGTATGCCTGCAGGTAAGAAAAGCTGGAAGTGCAGTCCCTCTGCTTTGATTGCTGTGTCTCTTTGGTAGTTATTTTGGAGGGGAATCATAGAGTGATTTGGTTTGAAGGGGACCTTTAAAGGCCACCCTGTCTTCCGTGGGCAGGGACACCTTCCACTATCCCCAGTTGCTCCAAGTCCCGTCCAGCCTGGCTTGGAACACTTCCAGGGATGGGGCAGCCTCAGCTTCCCTGTGCAGTGTGCTCTAATGTCTCTCCACTGTCATCATGAAAAATTTTGTCAGTATATTTTGTTCGATGATGGTGAGCAGGACCTGGGTGAAAATGACATTCTATTAGGTGCAGAGGGAAATAATTATCCTTTGAAGTCAAATGTATTCAGTTTTGCACAAGTCTTGTCTGCCTTATGTTTGAATTGCTTTCTATTCCGGGAAGTTTTAAATTAAACTTTTATTTTGTGTCTCCCCCCCAGTATCCTGTACAAGACACAGCTACCTTTCCTTGTGGGAATGGATTGGCCGGGCTTTGGCAATCTGGCCCCTAGAAAGGCTAAGTGACCTCTTCCAATGGGGAAAGACTGAAGCAAGCGGTGCCAGAAAGAACTGGAGTTTCTGGAGAATAAAAGCTGGAAGTACACCCCTGAAAATCCCCTCGGGTGGTCAGTGGTCTGACTTGCACGGGCCGGTGGCCTTGGGCAGGAGCGGTCCTGCCGGAAGGGCCTTTGCCCAGGCTGGAATTTTAATTTCCATGGGATGCTGGCCAAGCCCCTCTGGGTGAGCCCCGGTGCCTGGCATGAGCGGAGCGGGCTTCCAGGGCACTCATTGCAGGCGTTGTGTTTAAGGGAAGAGCAGGGGAGCCTTTCTCTGGCCCAAAGGAGCTGCAGTGTTCTTCCTCTCTGGAAGACTAAGAACTAAAAAAAAAATAAAAACCAAACGAGAAAGAAAAGAAAATGAAAAATAAAGAGAATAAAAAATTAATGAAATAAAGGAGGAAATGTAAAATATAAAAGAAAATTAAAGAAAAAAATAAAAGCGAGCAAACTAAAAAGGCAATAAAATGAAAAGTGAAATGAAAGATAAAAACAACCCTTCTTGGGCACCCCGTTTACTCCCCGCCCCGCCCTCCGACCCGTAAATTGGGGGTCACCCCTACCATGTGAGAAGGGGACCCCAAAACGTGGGTGGGGGAATCCCAGGGAGCCGAAAAAGCAGGGGAGGGGGAGCTGCGAAATGTGAGGGAGGAGCCCCAGAAAAGCGGGTGAGGCGCGCGCAGTAAGAAAGCGAAGCCGGATGGTGAGGCGGTGGAGGAGGAGCAACCAAGGTGGCGGCGCCGGCGCATGCGCAGTCGTTCGCATGACGCCGGCGATACGTAAAATTAAGGGCGGTCAGGAGAGGGAACGGCGACGCATGCGCAGTGGCTCTTGTGCCGCTGCAGCGCTCCTGCTCAACTTAAGGGCCGGTTCCGGCGGCACGGCGGGACTTGTGGTCTCCCGTCTCTCCCGGGGTGTGTGTGGGGGGAATAACATGAAGATTTTTGAGGCGAAAGTGCAGAAATTAGTGAGGGACGTTCTCCGGGTAAACTGGGGAACCGGAAGTGAGAGCGACCGGACTGTTTTCGAAGGCGCACCACCCAAGATGGCGCCCTCCTGCACCGGAAGTCCTGCGAGGCCGCACAGAAAGAAAGATGGCGGCGCCCTTACCGGAAGTCCTCCAAGGCCGTACACAAAGATGGCGGCCCCGGCCCAAAAGTCCGCCAAGCCCACAGTAAAAATGGCGCTGCCAGGACCGGAAATTAGCCGAAACCACACTAAAGATGGCGGCGACAGGCCCCCTTCCCTCAGAGAGGCGTCTATCCTGTTGCCTGACCTCCGCCCCGACTCAGACCCCCGCCCCGCGCCCGCAGCGCCGTCTCGCCGTGCCGTTTCCCGGTGCGGAGACAGGGCGGCGTGCTCGGCGGCGCCTGGCACGGGCGGCAGGTTCGTGGGCGGCGGCAGGCACCGGCGCGGGCAGCCCTCTCTCGGCGCCGCGGCGCGCGGCTCGGGCGCGAGGACCCCAGGCAGACGGCGGGGCCCGGCGCGCCGCCCGCCCGCCCCCTTCCGCTCCGCTTCGCTCCCGCCCCCGCTCCGCTCGGTCCCGCCGTGCCCCGGAGATGCTGTCGGGGCTGCGCCGCCGCCTTCCCCCCCCGGAAGCGACCCACGGCGGCAGATCCGACGTCGGGCTCTCCAGGAGATCGTCCCCGGGGTAAGCGGGGCCCGACGGGGGCGCGGCCGCTCTTCTGCCTCACCCGCGGCCATCCGGGACTGCAGGCAGGGGAAGCGACAGGCAAGTTTCTCGCCTCTGCGGAGAAACTTGCACCTGCGTGCCGCCGCGAGGAGAAGGCGCCGCGGGTCTTGCAAGGTGGGGGGGGCGCGCGGCTCCAGTGCCGCTCCCGGCCGTGTCCGCCAGGCGGCGACTGCGAGGCCTCAGGGTCCGGCGGTCGGGGGCGGGCTCTTAAGCGGCGCCCGTGGAGAGCGAGGCGTTGGCCGGGCCGGGCCTGAAGCCCTCGGGGCCGCCGGGCAGGGCAGTGGCGGCGACCGGCCGGGAACGGGGGGGGGGGGGGGGGGGGGGGGGTAAGAGGAGGTTTTAGGGAAGAAACGCCTGTAGTGAGTAATCAGAAGAGAAGCGTGAAAGCCAAGAGCCTTTCACTTCCCCAGTGCACTTAATTTTCTTGTTCTCCTCTCTTTCCGGACAGGGAAAATCATTGACTTGGGTCCAGCAATGCCATATGTGTTGGGGTATGAGCAGCCAAAGGCAACAGGCTCCAGCCCCACCGACCGGCGCTGGGGGCACCTGGTGCTGCCCGTGGGGTGGGGTAAATCAGAGGGACACGTTTCTCTCCTCCTGGCTGTTGGCATTTGCTCCCTGGGCACTGGCTCTGTTTCCCACTGCAGGCTGGTCCTTGCTGTGCTGGGAAGGGTGGAGAGGAAGGGGCGAAGGGCCAGGTGAGTGTGGGGTCCCCGAGCTGTGGGGTTGGGCTGTGCTGAGAGGGGCAGGTGGGTCCCCGTTGGTGAGCCTGAGCCTTGGTTTGGGGGTTCAGGAGCCCGGGGGGCAGAGCTTGGGGGGTGTTTGCAGCTCTGCCAGGGCTGGAGCTGACACAGCGCTGGGGAAGAACCTGGAGCTGGGCTGTCTTGCCCCTCCCCAAAGCACTGCAGGCACATGGGAGTAGCTTAGTGCTGGCCCAGTTCTCTGAGAAACACCCATGGGGGAGAGGTTTAAGTCCTAATGACAACGCTCTGGTCTCTTGATGGCAAAGACTGGGTCCTGCAGTCCCAGCCTGATGAGGGAGAACAGGAACTTCTGTTCTTTGTGGCAAACCTTCTGTTACTCCTTGTGCAGTCTTTTCTTTCCCTTATATGTGTTACTGTCCAGAATCTCTCTGAGGAAAGCTGTTAGAAATTTAGAGGTAGGACTGGCATTTGGGTCTGTTCCCTACAAACTCCTGCAAAGCCTGAAGGACCGGGCTGATGACTGCTCTTAACAAAGGTGGTTTATTAATATTCCATTAGATTTCCCTCAGCTCTGGGCAGGATAGGCAAGGGTTAGGGTTGGGAATTGTGCAAGCAAGACCTGTTATTTCTCCTGTGCATATGTCAGTTTGACCGGGCTGGGACAAGGAGGACTCGTGTGGGCACCTCCAGAGACAGCAGGAACAAGAGTGTGTTGTGGAGAAGGAAAATTCCAGGTGGTGGGTGCTGAGAAATTTGTCCTTCCCTTGTCCTGTGCTCCGCACTTAGCAGTGGGTGAAGTGCAGAAGTTTCCTGGGGACCCTGGAAAATGATGCCGGGTCTGGTAAGAAAAGTGGGGCCAAAAGAGCAGGATCTGGGTCTGCGAGTGTGGGAGAAACAAGGAAGAGAGCAATGGCCGGGTCATCCTCTGCCTCCAGGAGGGAGGGCAGCAGGAAAGGCCATGGACTAAACCACTGAAGTGCTGTTCCCCAGGGAGCCCCTGCACAGCACTGAACTTGCTTCTGCACTTGCTGTCCCTTTCCCAGCGGAGCCGAAGCGTCGGGTGCGGGTGCCGGGGGGATGGAGCTGCCAAGGACAAACTGGGAGGGTGTTTGCAAAGGAAGGGGCTAGAAGGAGCTCTTGACGTGCTTTTTTTACTTCTTC